GAAGTAAGTTCGTAGGAATGTATGCATAACTACATTTTATGGTTACAAACTTCATACATTTCATAATTACAACTTTAAGAGCATGATTATTCTTTCCACCATGCCCACTTCCCAGACTCCCACCCACCTTCCTCCTCCCTCTCTTATTCCCAATCTTATTTTTACTAAGATCTATTTTTTAAAAAAAATGTTTCATTTATTTATTTATTTGAAAAGCATAGTTACAGAGAGGCAGAGGCAGAGTCAGAGAGAGAGAGAGATATCCTCTATCCACTGGTTCAATCCCCAAATGGCTGTAATGGCTGGAGCTGGGACAATCTGAAGCCAGGAGCCAGGATCTTCCTCTGGGTCCCCACATGGGTGTTTTCCTAGGCCATAGCAGAGAGCTGGATTGGGAGTGGAGCAGCTGAACATGAAGGCGCATTCCACATGGGATTCTGACACTGCAGGCAGTGGCTTAACCCGCTATGCCACAGCACTGGCCCCTACTAGTATCTGTTTTCAATTTACTTTATAAAAATATGATTATCTCTGTGTTGAGTAAAGAGTTCAGTGTTAGTATGGGAAAAAAAAGTTTCCTCAATAGTCAAGACAAGGGCTGATTTCTGGCATTTCTATTCTGTTCCATTGGTCTATCCATCTGTTTTTTGTATCAGTATGAGGCTTTTTTGATTATGACTACCCTGTAGTATGTCTTGAAATTTGGATATGGTATAGTTATGCATCCAGCTTTGTTTTTGTTGTTTTTGTTGTATAATATTGATTTAGCTATTCAGGGTCCCCTGTGTTTCCATATGAATTTCAGCATCATCTTTTCTATATTTGAGAAGAATGTTCTTGGTATTTTGATTGATACCACATTGAATTTTTAAATTGATTTTGGTAGCATAGACATTTGATGATATTGATTCTTCCAGTCCATGAGCATGGGAGATTATTCCATTTTTTTTTATCTTCTTCTATTTCTTTCTTTAATGTTTTATAATTCCCATTGTATAGATCTTTGACATCCTTGGTTAAATTTATTCGAAGGTATTTGATTTTTTTAGAAGTTATTGTGAGTGGGATTGATCTTAGAAATTCTTTCTTAGCCATGTCATTGTCTGTGTATACAAAGCTGTTGATTTTTGTGTGATGATTTTATACCCTGCTACTTTACCAAACTCTTTTGTAAGTTCCAATAGTCTCTTGGTAGAGTCTTTTGGATCCCCTATATGTAAATAATGTCATCTGCAATAGGGATAGTTTGACTTCCTCCTTCCCAATTTGTATCCCTTTGATTTCTTTTTCTTGCCTAATTGCTCTGGCTAAAACTTGAATAGCAATGATGAGAGTGGGCATTCTTGTCTGGTTCCAGATCTCACTGTGAATGCTTCCAACTTTTTCCCATTTAAAAGGATGCTGGCTGTGGGTTTGCGATAATTTGCCTTGATTGTGTTGAGGAATGTTCCTTCTATACCCAGTTTTCTTAGAGTTTGCATCATGAAACGGTGTTGTATTTTGTCAATTGCTTTCTCTGTGTCTTTTGAGGTAATATAGTTAGTGTTCTTCAATTTGTTAATGTGATGTATCACATATATTGATTTGTGAATGTTAAACCTGCATACCTGGGATATACATATCCCTGTACACCTGACTTAAACCCCACTTGGTCTATTTAAATTATCTTTCTGATATTTTGTTGGATTTGATTGGACATATTTTTGTTGAGGATTTTTGCGTCTATATTCATCAGAGAAATTGGTCTGTAATTTTCTTTTTCTGTTGTGTCATTTTCAGGTTTAGAAATTAAGGTGATTCTGGCTTAATAGAAAAAAATTGGGAGGATTCCCTCCTTTTCAGTTGTTTTGAATAGCTTGTTTGAGTTAGTTTTTCTTTAAATATTTGGTAGAATTCAGCAGTGAAGCCATCCGGTCCTGGGCTTTTTGTGTTGGGCTGGTCTTATGAATCAATTTCTGTCTTGGTTATGGGTCTGTTTAGGTTTTCTATTTCTTCATGACTCAATTTAGTTAGGTTGTATGTGCTCAGGAATCTATCCATTTCTTCTGGGTTTCCCAGATTGTTGGCATACAGCTCTTTGTAGTAATTTCTGAAGATTCTTCTTATTTTTGATCTGACTGTAAAATTTCCAGACATTTGTCTTCTTGCTTGAATATTCCTTCTTCCGCCTCACTCACTCTATTGTTAAGACTTTCCACTGCATTTTAAAATTTGATTTATTGAATTCTGCCTTTCTAACATTTCCTTTTGCTTTCTCTTTAAGATCTCAATTTCATGAGAAAAAATTTCATTCATATCATATATTTTTTTAATTTGTTAATTTGCTTCTGATTGCTTCTGATTTATCCAATGATTAGTTTCCTGCATTCTGTTTCTGGCACTTCTTCAATCTCTTCATCTTCACATTCTAATATTGAAATGTTGTAGTGTTCCTTGGGGGTCGCATAGTGGCTTCCTTTTTCTTGTTTTTTGAATTTTTGCTTTTATTTTTCATCATTTATAGAATTGTTTTAACTTTAATTTAATGAATATAAATTTCCAAAGTACAGCTTATGGATTACAATGGCTTTCCCTGCCCCCCATAACTTCCCTCCCACCCGCAACCCTCCCCTCTCCCGCTCCCATTTATAGAATTTTTTTCCTCTGGTTATATCTGTGGTTTAGAGGCACACAAAGTACTTGTCTGCTGCAGCCCCACTGCCTTCTTAATTGTGCTGGGAGGGATGGAGAGTTCCACATGTGGCACTTCCCCTTGCAGGGGTGGCTCTTCCTCCTCCCCATTTGCTGGGCAACTGGTACGTGCAACTGGCACAGGAGCTTCCCCTGGCATCGGCTACCGTCCCCCAACTGGCCATAGGTCTCTGCTGTAGCCAGGTGGAGGGGGAGGGAGAGAGACATGCCATCTTTTTTCCCTCACCTCTGGGCAATTGGTCGTCTACTGTTCACTGTGCAACTCCAAAAGCAGTTCACCAAGCTCTCCCTCCTATTGTATCAGCAGCACCTTGGGCCTGTCGAGTCCTCTCTCACCTGGCTTGGTAGGGCAGATGTCCTCCTCTCTGGATCCAAGTTGGCAGGTCTTCTGTTGTGTTTTTGCTCTTTCAGCATGGGTCTGGATCACCTCCATTGCTCTGGTAGGATCTCCCACCACATCTCTCCTGCAGCTTTAAGCTGAGAGTGTACTCTCTCTCCTTTTTTAAATATTAATTTCACCCTGTGTAAATCAGACCACCCTGTCACTATTCTTCCATCTTGGGATGCTCAGTAGCTTTTTCAATCAGTGATAATATTCAATATACTCCCCATTTTATTCTAATTTGAATATGTTACTCTTCTGTTTGCAAAGAAACACCAAATATTTAGCTCATATCTTTGTGAAAGCATTAAGTGCAACAAAATTTAATATTTTTCTTGTATTTAGCACAAGTCTGTGGATTATCTTTTGTTACTTTCATTTTGAAAGAAATGTATCTCTTAATATCTTAAGCTATATGCTAGAATTTTAAAAATACTGATTTTTTTTTCAAAAAGAAGTGATTCGTATGCAGTTTTTTGGATTGCACATTGGTAAAAGAACTTGAAACAATACCACTGAGCTGACCACAACTTTCTAGGAGAGAACAGATGATGAAGAGGATGCACTTAGTCAACTTCAAGGAATTAAAGGGCCAAAGTTTTTAGCTTAGTTTAAACAGAATCTTATACTCAGAATGGGGAGTTACTTATATGTTCTGGATATTAATCCTTTTACTAATTTGGATCTTTCATAAAACCTTTCTTCAAATTCAGTAGTATTCTGCTTGATCTAGGCTGTTTAGCATTTCAGCTATAATTTTACCTGATTTCTTGAGTCTTACATTTCTTTTTTTTTTAACTTTTATTTAATGAATATAAATTTCCAAAGTACGATTTATGGATTACATTTCTAAGATTTCTGTTTTATTCTTTTTCATGATATTCATCTCTTTGCTAAACTCTTCCATCATATCTTGAATTTTTCCAAGCCTTGTTGAGTTGTCTTTCTACATTCTGTTGAATCTCATTAAATTTCATTATAATCAATCTTTTGAATTTTTTTCTGAGGCATTATGTTAATAACTTTTGCTTGAATATGTTGCTAAAAAGTTATTGTAGTGTTTGGAGGTGGTGGGATGTTGCCATCTTTTCACACTTCTTGTACCCCTACATTGAGGCTTACACATCGAGTGGATCAGTTTTCTGTAACACTTTCGTAAGCTGGCTTTCATAGTAAATGACTTTGTCCTAAACATGTCCTTTAGTTTGGTATGCTATGTTGGCTATGCTTTTCAGTCAGTCATCATGTTCTAGTCTCCCTAAATCTTCAGAACTAATGTTAGGCATTTGGGTACAGTGCCTTTGGCAACAGGGCTATAGGCACATGGGAGAGAGAGTACTACAGCCACTCAGGTGAGTGTGGGGCACATGGCAGTGGGTAGAGTGTTCACTGTGTGACTAATCTGGCAAGGGGAGTGAAAGCCATGTGCACCAGGGGCTTTGGCAATGATGGTGAGGGGCCAAGTGGAAGAAAAGGAAACCCCATTGCTTTAGATTGAGAGTTTCAAATTTTTAACATTGATAATGAACTAATCCAATTTTTAAAGATAAATAAAATTAGAAAAACAATTGGTATAGTGAACTTTTATTTATATGTGAATCTAGCTATTGCTTGTAAGAAAAATTAATGAAGCATGGCATTAAAATCTAAATTATTCTTAAAAATAAGTGCTAAAAGCTTCTTACAGTATTTCTTTAGTCAACTAATTTTCTAGGTGATTTACTATCAGATGATGATGGATAATATAATTTTAATATTTCAGCATAGTAAATGAATATGGCTTGAAGTTTACATTTCGTATAGAACAGAAAAACTTTAAAAAGCAACCAATTTTAAAAAATCTAATTCTAATATAATTTAGCCATCAATGCATCTTTTGGTTAGTACTTGGCTTAGATTTTATACTTTCTATTTTTTTAAAATTTAGGTCCCTCAAGACCCATTGAAGTTTTATAAGAAGATTTATTTTTGCCACAGTTGCCAGCTCTATTTGCCTTCTACAGAATTTCCTGTATCATCTACCACACACCACATATATCGGTGTCGTCATTGTATTAACCTTGAGAATGAGACACGACAGCGAGAATCATTTTTGAAGTACAAGTGTTTACTTCAGCGGCTCTACCATTCAGAAACTGAGTATGAAGATGATTCTAAAATTGCTTTCTTGATGCAGGTATGATCAATAAGTGAAGACAATCATGGCATAAATTTGTTTCTGACAAAGAGGCTGTCTTCAAAATTGTTAGAGTGCCATAAAGTGAAGAGCAATTGAACATTTTCTTGTATGAAAAATAGTGCCCTTGATTTTTTAATGTGGACAATGATTCCATTCCTATGATATAGGTGTCAACTTATTCATGATATTTAAGTACTATGTTATGCTCTGGAAATGCAATGGTAACCAGATCTTTCAAACTAGATAAGAAGATAGAAATTAAAAAAAAAATTACAAGTTCCTGAGGGGAAAAAAACCCCAAAAACAAATAGTAGGGGTTAGAAGGGCTAGTGTTGAGCACTATTTAAGCATTAGAAAGGTTAATTAATGTGAATTGATTACTAAAAAATGCTTGCCTGAGGATGTGTTCTATATGATGGAATGCACACAAGTGGGGATTAATCCTGTGACCTTGAAGAGCAAAGTATTTTAGGCAATGGGAATAGTGTGCATGAAAATCTGAGGCAAAAATGTCACCATGCTGTTACAGCAGAGAAGTTACATAGTTTGGGCATCTGATTTTTACACTGAGGAAATAAACACAGTTAGTGCTGATGCAGAAGGTTAAGATAGAGGTTCAAACATAGGTGCAGAATATTGGAAGCCGCATAACAAATTTCCTCTCTGCCATTCAACAGCTATGTCTTTGGACACATGAATTAACCTGTATGTACCACAATCTACTTAGCTATAAAATGGGGATATTATTAGTACCTACACCTAGGATTTTGATTGAGATCACATTGAATCTGTAAGTTGCTTTGGGTGGTATGATCATTCTTATGATATTAATTCTTCCAGTCCATAAACATGGAAGATTTTTCCATTTCAGAAGCCTCTGAAAAATCTGATTATGAGGGGCTTTTCTGAAAAAGTACACTTATGTAACTTGTTTTTGGGTATTGATGGGACTGGAGCAGAATGTAAAGAGCCACTGATTCTGGAATCTGGATTCAGGGTTTCCTGGTTCTGAGCAGAACACTGGGGTGCAAGAAGGTGGGTACAGTTAGGGCTTGCAGCACATTCCTGGTTCTTAGGGTGGTGTTTATAGGGGCAGAAACACAATACAAGGGCTGTTCCTCATATTAGCATTGTGCTAATTGAGAAAAAGGATGCTATTGATGGAAAATATATGCGCAAGATATTTTTGACACAAACCATCTTGAATCCTTTATAAGGCTGTTTCAGAGAGAACTTAAAATATATGAAAATTTGAAAATTTTTGTTTTACACATGAACCTCACATTCCTACTTTTTTCCCTTTTTTCTTTCTTTTTTTTTTAAATTAATTTATTTTTTTGACAGGCAGAGTGGATAGTGAGAGAGAGAGAGACAGAGAGAAAGGTCTTCCTTTTTGCCGTTGATTCACCCTCCAATGGCCGTCACGGCTGGCGCGCTGCGGCCGGTGCACCACGCCTATCCGAAGGCAGGAGCCAGGTGCTTCTCCTGGTCTTTTTTTCCTTTTTTCACTTCCAATTTACTTGTGAGTGCCATACTTGTATGAGCTCAAGACTGAATTTATTGATAATAATCATTGACTAGGAAAGGAGAGAAGTCATGTGAAGAATTAGTTATTGAGAGTCTAAAATTTGTTCTACAGTTTTTAAATCTTATTAAATATTTGAACATTAAAATTGCTAACTTCTAAGTACTCCAATACAATGATATATTGTATCATTATAAAATAATTTCTATTATATATAATTAAAATTCCTTCATACTTTCTTGAAAAGTCACTGTATGAGTTTATAGTGTAATTTATTTCCCTAAAGATACACTTTCATTCACTCATGTAAAAAGAGCCATTGAGAACCTATTGTGTACCCCAGCAGTCTCCTAAGAGCTGAAAGATGAGACCCTATCTGTACTACACAGATAGGGGAAGAGAGAGCAGGAAGCAGAAGTAAACAAGTAACAAATAGACAAAGTCATCTCTCTTTCAGCTATAGTAAATTTCTTTGGAGAAGCCAATGGGTTAATACAAAAGAGAGTTACTGTGGGGGGTGTTTCAGATTGTGTGATCAGAGAAGCAACATTAAAAATTAAAAATAAAGATCTAGCCATACACATGGAAAATTTAAAATATTAAAATGTGAATTTCTTTTTAAATGATTTTTAATTTTTATTTATTTTTATTTTTTATTTATTTTTTATTTATATGACAGGTAGAGTTATAGACAATGAGATAGAGAGAGAGAAAGGTCTTCCATCCGTTGGTTCACTCCCCCAATTGGCCGCAACTGCTGGAGCTGCGCCTGTCCGAAGCCAGGAGCCAGGTGCTTCTTCCTGGTCTCCCATGTGGGTGCAGGGACCTAAGCACTTGGGCCATCTTCCACTGCCCTCCCAGGCACAGCAGAGAGCTAGACTGGAAGAGGAGCAACTGGGACTAGAACCCGGCACCCATATGGGATGCTGGCACAGCAGGCGGAGGATTAGCCAAGTGAGTCACAGTGCTGGCCCCAAAATGTGAATTTCTAATTAATGTATATTTCTTCTTTGCATACATGTCATTGTAACAGTCTTATATATATATATTTGTGCATGAGGATTTGTTTTGACTGTTTATTCTACTAGACTGTAAATCAATTTTTCCAATCCACAAACATGGATTTTTTTATTTTAAATAGCTTATTCTATTTCTTTTTTTAGTGTTTTATAATTTTAGTTGTAGAGATCTTTGACATCCTTGATTCAATTTATTCCAAGGTAGTTAATTCTTTTGGGAGCTATTGTGAATGGGATTGATCTTAACAGTTCTTTCTCAGCCATGGCATTGTCTGTGTATACAAAGGCTATTGATTTTTGTGTGTTGATATTATGTCCTGCCACTTTCCCAAACTATTCTATGAGTTCCAATAGTCTCTTAGATTCTTTTGAATCCCTTATATATAGAATCATGTCATCTGGAAATAGGGATAGTTTGACTTCCTCCTTCCAAATTTGTATCCCTTTGATTTCTTTTTCTTGCCTGATGGCTCTGGCTAAAACTTCCAGGACTATATTAAATAGCAATGGTGAGAGTGGACATTCTTTTCTGGTTCTGGATCTTAAGGGGAATGCTTCCAGCTTTTCCCCATTGAATAGGATGTTTGCTATGGTTTTGCCATAAATTGCCTTGATTGTGTTTAGGAATGTTCCTTCTGTACTCAATTTGCTTAAGGTTTTCATCATGAAGGTTGCTATATTTAAACAATGCTTTCTCTGCATCTACTGAGATAACCAGATGATTTTTTTTCACATGTAAAAATGTAGAATTTATTTTCTTAAACACTATATTCATATCTATACAAATTTTTATAACCATTAAAATGTTACATTTAACAATAAAAATCCCAAAACTTTAGACAAGAGCATGATTTGGAGCATTCATACCCTAAGATAATGTATTTGTAAAAAGATGTCAAAATAAAAGACTTATATATATCTATAGGCCAATCCTGATTATATTATACATATCTGCCTTCAATTCCATTACAAAACAAATTAGCTTTAGATTTATAAATCAGATGACTTATAGTAATAGGACATGGTGCACAGCAGACATTGCTGGCATAGAATAGATACAAATATTACACTACCGGAAGCACTAAAGTTGGTTTTCTTCTGGTCACAACGATGTGGTTTTTGTTCTTCAGTTTGTTAATGTGATGTATCACATTTGTTGACTTGTGAATGTTGGACCATCCCTGCATACCAGGCATAAATCACTCATGGTCCAGGTGAATGATCTTATGATATTGTTGGATTCAATTAGCTAATATTTTGTTGAGGCTTTTTGCATCTATGCATCTATGTTCATCAGGGATATTGGTCTATAGTTCTCTTTCTCTGTTGTATCTTTTTCTGGTTTAGGAATTAAGGTAATGCAGGCTTCATACAATAAGTTTGGGAAGATTCTCTCCCTTTCAATTGTTTTGAGTAGCTTGAAAAGAATTTGAATTAGTTTCTCTTTAAATGTCTGATAGAATTCAGCAGTAAACCTATCTGGTTCTGGGCTTTATTTTGTTGCAAGGGTCTTTTTTAATGATTTAATTTGTGTATTCATTATTGTTTAATTTTTCTTTGTCTTCATGACTCAATTTTAGTAGATTGTATGTGTCTAGGACTCTATCAATTTCTTCTAGGTTTCCTAATTTGTTGGCATACAGCTCTTTGTAATAGTTACTGGTTAGTCTTTATTTCTGTGGTATCTGTTACATTGCATTTTTTATCTCCAATTTTATTGCTCTGGATCTTCTTTTTTCCTTCTTCTAGTTAGTTGGGCCAATGGTGTATCAATTTTGTTCATTTTTTCGAAAAACCAGATCTTCATTTCACTGATCATTTGTATTTTTTGTTTCAATTTTGTTTATTCTCTAGTTTTAATTATTTCTTTCTCCCTACTATTTTAAGGTTCAGTTTGTTGTTTTTCTAGATTCTTGAGATACATGGATAGCTCATGTATTTGGTACCTTTCCAGTTTCTTCATGTAAGCACTGATTTTTATAAACTTCCTGCTTAAAACTGTTTTTGCTGTATCCCCTATGTTTTGTTATGATATATTGTCATCTTCATTCATTTACAGAAATTTTGTTATTTCTGTTTTGATTTCTTCTGTGACCCACTGTTCATTCAGGAACATGTTGTTCAGTCTTCATATGTTTGCATATGGTCTAGAGATTCTTTAGTTGTTGATTTCCAGCTTCATTTCATTGTGGTCAGAGAAGAAGCGTGGTATGATTTAGATATTTTTTTTTATTGGCTGAGACTTGCTTTATGGCCTAGCATATGGTGTATCCTAGAGAAAATTCCATGCACTGATGAGAAGAATGTGTATTCTGCCATGGTGGGGTAAAAAGTTCTGTAGATATCACTTAGATCCATTTGGTCCATAGTGTCAATTAGTTATGTTGTTTCTTTGTTGATTCTGTCTAGTTGATCTGTCCAGTAATGAAAGTGGGTGTTGAAGTCTCTGTTAC